ATTATCAGTTATTTTTATGCCTTTGCCATATTTTAGGGATTGCCAGGGATCGAATGCACAAAAGGGCTAAGACGGGGGCACGTCGTGATCGCAACCGTAAGAAGAGGAAGTTTGAACTTGGTCGCCCTGCAGCAATGACCAAAATCGGTCCTAAGCGTATCCGCAAACTCAGAGTCCGTGGTGGCAATTTAAAGTTCCGTGCAATGAGGCTTGATCAAGGGAATTTCAGCTGGCCTTCGCAGGCCATTTCTCGGAAAACTCGGATTATTGACGTCGTTTACAATGCATCTAATAATGAGCTTGTGCGAACCAAAACGCTGGTGAAAAATGCCATTGTTCTTATTGATGGTGCTCCATTTAGACAATGGTACGAGGCTCATTATCTTAAAGAACTTGGCCGCAAAAAGGCTGCAATGGCGAGGGTAGCCAAGGCTGCCCAAGCGGCGGATGAAGCTGAGGACTTACTTTCCAAAGAGCGCAGTGCTAAAGTTATGAAAAAGTATTTGGCTCGGCAAAAACTCCCCCAGGCAACTGTTGAGGACGCTCTTAGGGAGTCATTTACCTCAGGACGTATCATAGGTAAGATGTATTAATTTTTATCAAATTTTAGCTTGCATTTCATCACGCCCTGGACAAGTAGGACGGGCTGATGGCTACATACTTGAAGGAAAAGAGCTAGAGTTTTATTCAAAGAAACTCAAGGCAAAAAAAGCAAAATAAAAGTTTAATATATTTGTTTGGAAAAATGCATTATTCGTGCCTTTTCGCTCAACCATTTGGCTGTTCATTTATTCTATCTCCATTCGAACAATCAACCATCTAAAATATTTAATTAAAGATATATAAGTAAGGGTGACCTTTGCGTTCATGCCTTAGAATTTCTTACCTCTTCATATTCTCTTCTCAGGTATACTTCGATTGAATATTTATACATTATATTTTCTAGTTGTATTGCGATCCAGGCTAGGCTCATTTTCCATCTTTTTGTAGTTGCGTTCCAATCTGCCCTTTCGATCATTGCATCTATAATAATGTTTTATGGTGCTAGTATGGCATACCTTCAAACTGTATGTATTCTGGGATTTTCTCGTTCGTTGAGGCTTCTATGTTTTTGATTATCTTTTTTATCTCGTGATCAATCTGTCTTATTACTTCATCGAGATCACTCTGTTCATCTCTAGAGTTTATTTCTTGTGAATGACGATGCGATAGTTTTACT